AAAAAAAAACTAAGCTTTTTAAATAAGAATTGTCTAATATAAAAGGGATTGGTATCAAAATTTTATGATTTTATAAGGACTAAAACAGTCATTAAGTATTAAAATTGTAGAAAAAATTTTATAATAATCAAAATTGTCGGGATAAAAGGGATACATGATAGGTACTAAAATTATATCTAAATCGTGCTTTTAATTTATATTTTTTTAATATTTTTGTATTTATAAATATTCGTGAAATATACTAAATTGGATAAATATCAAATGGTGGGTGGAACATGATGGAAATGGAGTAAAATTACCATAACAATCTCAAATAAAATTCAACCTATTAAATTTTTCTCATTTGTCTAACAAAAACTAGTTTGAGTAATTTTTTTTAAAAGCACTCACAAAAAGGAATTAAAAAAAAACAAATAAATTAAATTTTTTAGAAGTTAAAATCAGTTTTTTGAAAAATTATAAGAACTCAGCTTCTCTAATTGATTTTTTAACTTACTCATAAATTAATTTTAATACATAGAAAACTTATTTTTTCTAGATTTTTTCTTATAAATAGTGATAAAAAAAAACCTTGCTCACAGAGAGCTTAAATAAGCCTGACAATTTAAAATTAGGTAACACAAATTCATCCCAACTCATCGTCTAGATAGTTTCAACAATAAGAATTGGAGTCTTCCCCATCCGAGGCTTCATAAACAATATTCAGATGGGTTGAAAATGCTTATTTCGATGAAGTGGTCTTTACATAGCCGCTTTTGCTAAAACAACGATGTTATATATACAAGTAAACAATTATAACATTAAATATTCAGTTTTCTCATTACTTAACACTAAACACCTCTAATATATACATAAATCCATCAAAACTTACATGTATATAACTAACCCCTGCGACTTCGTTGAGCAGTGGGTGGTAATTTCTCTGATGGGCCAGTAGGAAGCTTCTTTCCAGTCTCTTGTTCAATCCTCTTCTTGAGCTCCCTCAGTATACGAATTTGTCCAAGCTTCTCAGGAGACAACTTGTCCCAGTAAATCCCTGCAGCAAATAAGTTTTTTTAACAAATATCACAAGTTATGAACATCCAACAAGGGAAAGATAAACTGATGCTACAGAGTTCATGGTTGACATCTCAATGATTTAGAGATTAAAGGGTAAGAAAAAGACGTAAAGACAGATAGGTCGCATTGTTTCACCAACCTTGAGGCTTTGGAATAGTCGTGTGTGTGAAAATGACCTGTGTTGGAGTACAAATGATATCCACTGGTACGTCGTGGATTAGTAGCTTTTCGACTGGAATGTCGTCCACCAATTGGCAGTCATGAACTGCAAGGGTTGTTCTCAATGTTACATACAAAAGAAGACAGATTGCAAATTTTACACAAGACAACAATAAAAAAGTAATGAATTGGGCTGCACATTACAATATGGTATGTATGGAGGAACTGATTGAGGAATATATTGCACCAAAATTCAGTTAGCATGTCAGTATTAGTGCAAGGAAACTATTTGCCCAATATCGTTTTGCAACCCAAATATGTTCGACCCAAATAAACCTTTCTAAATATAAGAGGCTAGAGAATCATATGTGGAAACAGAAATAATATCAAGCATACAGGGTATATAATTCTTTTAAAAGAAAAATGTTTTTCTTAAAATCCATAACCAACTTCAACTGAGTGTTATACATGCAGGTACTTCAACTGTTGAAATTGTGTTTCCAAAATGTCCAAGAGAAAAGTTTAAAATGACGGGCTCACAAAAGTGGTGAAGGCAGGTTAGGAACCAAAACTACCTGAGGTAACAACTGGTGTTGAATCATCGATGGCTCCCATGTACCTCAGCATACCGTATTCAAGTTCTGCAAATCCCTGCAGTTCAAATCATCTTTGTTGAAGGAACATTTAAATTCAAAAGTCCATTAATAGATTAAAAGGTCACTCAAGGCTCACTCATACAACGTCAGAGGAAAGTAGGGATTTTTGTTTCACGGAAGCTTTGAAACTAGACTGAGGTTGGTTTCCTTCCACGACGTATATTTCATGGGCAAGAAGTTTCATGATATGTAAGCAAATAGAAAGTCAAAGAAAAATTTTAAACCAAAGATCATACAGGTTGCCAAGCATTAAAAATCTAATTTTGTAGTTTTAGCCTTTTAATCGATAAGTGAACAAAAAGATTTAACATGGCCATAATAAAATTAAAAGACATGTAAATTTACCTCTCCCTTTCCCAATCGAGCCCCTGTACTTGGGTCAACAGCAACTGATCCAATAACAATAAGATCTACCTTTATCTTTTCATCTAACCCAATCGGTCGTCCATGCTTGGCAACACCAACAGAAGTGCAGGCTTCCCTCATGGTATCCAAAGTTAACATACTGGATTCAAGAATCGAGAAGAAACCTGTTCTCAGTCGAGGTTGAGGAGTCAACAACTTCTTGCCATCTGCGATATATATTGAAGATATACGGTCAGAAGAGAACTAGAGGAGAAGAAGATAAGAATCTCGAGTCTTGAATTAATTAAATTCTTAAAGTCTTATTTTAATATTATAATTTTATAAAATTGATCACAAATTCTGCTTTAGCCGGTTCAAGCTTCTTAATGTTATTTACATTATGCTCAATTTAGATAATAAAGGACCAGTAAAGAATTAGTCTCATACTCTCCCACTTATCAAAATAATAAGGCAAATCAAGAGTAAAGATCGCAGGCCATGACAATCACCAGAAGGCAGGTATATCAAACTTAACAAAGTGAAATATAGCACTTTCAGTATAAAAGATATACACGGTAAAAAACCATCATGACCATATATATCTGAAATTCATAACCAAAAAAGGTTTTATATGACCTAATAACAAAAATACCGAGTGTTACAGGAAAATCCACCTTTAAGGATTCTAAAATTTACATCAAATTATCAATATATGGATTGCTTTAGAATCCATGTGGTCAGACATCCAGTATGCTAGCTGGAGCCTTCAATGTCACAAGATCTTACATGTTGTCAACATAACGAGGATTCTCAAATTGATTACTAATAAATGTATTAAATAAAACCTGAAATGTGAAGTTCAGCCACTGACATCTAAGCCAGATCTTCACAACTCTATCACGCCACATCAATATTGCTCAAAAAATAATAGTGTCAATGTAATCTACTCAACAAATTTTTATCAAAGCCTCACTTCTAAAGGCAAAACTAATAGTAGCTTACTGCAACAAGGGATATACTGATTTACAATGACAATTAATAATCCATACTGATTATCGTTCATTTTTAGCTGCACCATACTAATACAACTTTGAACATGAAACCCTCTATGTTTAGATGGAACAGTTCAGGTTCAGGAAGATGCTCCTGAGCTTACATGGTGCAATCCACTAGTGCAGTCATGCATGCAACAACTTGTACCACTTAACTGTCAAGCAGCGTTTTTTTTTTTTTTGGATATTCTTCACTTAGAATAATGCTGACATTTAGACTACTCTTGCACTCACAACAACAACAACTGATCAACACCTGAGATATTAATATGAAAAAATTTAAAACTGAGCCACCGATATTGAGAAGTAGCTAAATGTGCGGTTTTGTATGATTACAAAAGCGAGTGCTAGTAGCATTATTCTTCCACTTATCATGAGCATATATCTTTAGAAGACTTTTTCATTTCTTCTTATTTCTCACTTATCTACAATCCCTTCAAACTCCAGAAAAATTGCAACAAAACCAATGAGGCGTCAATCACACAGCAGCACACACAAAAAAAAAATTGAACATTCCCCTCCCCACTCAGCCCCACTCAAAACCAATGTTCATAAACAACATTCCCCTCCCCACTCAGCACCACACAAAAAAGAAACACCAAATGAAGTAACAGACCTGAAAGAGTGAGAAACCTGACTTGTTTCTGAGGAGAATCGGGATTAACCTTTACACATTGAGCAACTTGAAAAACATCTAGCTCCCTCATCTGCCAAAACCACATCAAGCAGTTCAATTAACCCATTTCAAATCCAGGGTAAATATACTGATACTTTTTTCACTTAACACGCTTTCTTATGGAAGCTAAACCTCCTCATATCAATCTTATTCATTTCGTTTGATACTATACTCCTTTAAACGATTTCATTTCATTTAATTTCCTGTTATCAGATTATATTGAAATTTATTTAATTTTCCCTTCACTTTGTCTTCTCTGTTTATAAAAAGTTTATCCTAATCTAACCATACCTTGCTCTTCCATTAAGCGGGTTCTTCACTTTCCATTAAAAAATAAATACCTTTTGAGCAGCGACGGGAGCCCCAACGAAATTGGGAATGCGATGGTGAACGGGTCGAGGGTTGTTGGCAAAATTGCGGGCTTCCATAGTGTCCCATATTCTCTTTCTGATTACCCATTTCCAGGCCTTCGGGT